CCCCTGAATAAAGCAGAGTGTAACGTCATTTCCTTCTTGACAGCCCAGTTCATTTTGCCACCTTAACTCATCCCAGCCTAGGCTAATTCCTCACCTGTCTTGATGCAGTGGCCTCTGCTGTTATAGAGCTGGCCAGAGAGAAAGGCCAACAAAACCCACAGGATGGGGCTGTGCAAACATGTGCCCATACATCCCAGTCACAACAGAAGCTTCCTGAAACTTATGAGTGCCTCCTAGCCATAAGGATGACAGTGGGATTAGCGCACTGCTTGCAATATGGTAGGTGCCTGGGGAATCTCAACTGAATCAATATTTCCCGTAAAATAAGCTACAGAAAGTTATGAAGGTACACTCAAGGACATACTTGGAACCAGTGTACCTAGCTTAACATGTGAGTTTGTCAATTCCAAGTTTTACATCCTCACACAAGTTGCTGAACTTCCCTTAACCCACAGTGCCTGCCACTATAAAGAGGTGATAATAATGATGCCAGGTTTGGGCGGGGTCATTGTGAGAATTAAATGAGATGATGCCTATACAGCACTTAGCATAGGGCTTGGCACTAAGTTAGAACCCAGTATATTCCAGCTATTATTAAAGATTCTTGATTTCTATTTCCAGCTCCTAATGTTTTAATACATGCATATATACAAACACACATATGCACATAAACATAACCCCAAATAAAGGGACTAAAAACAATTCCCTTGGCTACAATTAGTGCCAGGACTCTGCATTGCTGACAGTTTATCGCAATATGGTAACAGCAATACTGAACAAATGGGAAATCCAGGTCCAGCAAAGTCCACCTCAACCAAGATACAATCTGAATAAGACGGGCCTGATTTCCCTGGTGCTTCCCCACTCAGAAACAGAAAATGTGATGGAGGGGACTGTGCTGTGATCAATATTAAGTAAAGTTCGCCCATAAATTCCAAATCTTGTAAAATAGGGAAAAAACACAAGAAGTGTATCATGTACTTCCTCCAATTTCATAATTGGTTTATTCAAACAAGAAATAATTATGGAGTACATACCATGTTCTAGGCTCTGTGTGTGTGTGTGTGTGTGTGTGTGTGTGTGTGTGTGTGTAAAATGGTAGATTAGCAGAGTTAAAATCGTTGGCGATCCTGAGAACAATTTATTGAATAAATGTGCTAAATTTGAAGACTCAGCATGGACTGAAAAGAAATTTTAAGTTTATCACCCTCTAAAACACAATACCCACACACAGAATTTAGCATGTCCAAGGACAGCTAATCCTAGTAAAAATAACAGCACAATTCACAAAGACGGCAGGTCAAGCCCCAGCTTGAAACCAGATATGTTGAAGACAAAGTTAAATATTACATGGTAAAACTCTAAAAACAAAAAAAAAAAAAAAAAAAAAAAAAAGTTTTTTTTTTAAATCAGTGGATCTTAAATTACATCCAAGTGAGGATGCCAAGGAGAGATACATGTGGCCACTTATTCACCGATGAGGCAATGACTGACAGGCTAATAAATAAGTTCCTTGTCTTAAGGGTCTTTCCAGAAGACATTAGGAATATTCTCACTTGAACCTGACAGGCGGGTGGTAGGAGATCAGGTATCGGTCAATGAACAGGAATGTTCTGGGCCTGGCTGATAACGTAGATGTTGACAAGTCACAGGAATCAGGGCATTTGCCTGCACTCCTTCAAGGCATTCAAGGGCGAGAGCTGGGTGCTGCTGGACAAAATGCTTCACCTGTTTCATGAGCAACAAGCTGCTGGGCCACAGGACCCCTGAGTGGCCAGCCTGAGCCTCTTTCATAAAGGTATTGTCTGTAAGGTTAGCATGGATTTGTTAAGCAAACCCCAGAACACCAGAAACTGCACAGGTCATGTCTTGAAGGTTAAGTGGAGCAAAGGACAAATAGCCAGAAACAAGTCTTTAATAGTAATTAGGAATTCTTAAGGAAACTTAAGGAAATCATTACCCCCAAAGATGTGGGCTAAAATTATAAACAGATTCCCAAAAAGTTTAGATCAATTCAGAGCTAGGCTTTCAGGGGCAACGACTTGGCGCCCTGGGGCAAAAGTGACCACGCTGAAAGGATAAACAGGTGCTCCCCCGTATTTCCTGGTACCTCAGGGCTGGGTCTCTTTGGTAGCTTCCATGTATCAGTAGTCCCTCTCTCCTTCATAGAACCTTACTACCCTCACTGTCAGTCTTGGCTTTTTGGTCTCATGCATTCTAAAAGCCTGGTGGACAGTCACTGTGACATATCATCCCTGTTTCAGTCTTGTTCTTTCTTCTTTCAGCAGGGGCAGAGTACCATGTATTCTCTAGGAGTAAAGAACAGATATCATACCTGCCCAGGGCCAGGGAGAAGATGAGCTCACACTCCACCTCTGGCTTCCAGAAACACTAAGCATTCTCAAGGGACCAGATGCTGCCAAAGCCTCATCCCACTGCTTTCCATCCTAACAGGCCTGCCTGTCCCCATGGAAGTGCTGATGAATTCCCTGCTGTAGGACACACTGCTGTAGGACACATTGTAGGGGACAGTGGGGAAGGAAGCCATTTCTGCAAACAGTTATCCAGGTAAAGATTCCCTTTTCCATTCAGTGCCCCAAATAAAAATAAGTAAAGGCTTTGTGATCCCTGGAATGGGAGCTAGTAAATAAAACATGCCAAGGAGAGCATCATTATGGTGTTTATTATGACCTAAAAGAGACAAGGGTCTGGGATCTGGAGAGTACAAAGAGGACACTACAGAATGGGGAGCACGTGCTTTCAATTGTCTCTATCTCAAATGAAAAAAAAAATATGAAGGGAAGCCTTGTTATTTCCAGGTCATGTGCCTTGGCAAATTCCAACACAAAGATCACCTGAGTGTCAAAAGGTCATATTCAGAGAGCTACCTCCAAACATGGAGGAGTTGGTCCCGGACAGAAAGAACATGGTAACATAACCCTGGGAGGGAAATGTGTTTTGAGTTACACCAGGGCCTGGTTGGGCCTCTCCCACAGGCCCTCCTAAACAGGAACTTGGCAGTGGGATTAGCTGGGCTGGAGGGGACGTCCTTGGCTGCAGAGGTGAGGCCCTTCAGGGTCTTGAGGAAAGTTGGACAGAGGTTCTTTCTCCCTGCTGCTAATAACACTGAAGAATCAGCATCACATTCATTTTATTAATTTTCTTGACAGGCAGCTCTAGTTTCCAGGCAGGCACCACAAAATCAAAACATACGCATGTCAAGTGCCCCATGTGTGGTGGGGCCCTGCCAAGGCCATGTTCATCAACACCAGGAAGCACAGCCCAAGTCCTCAGACATGTGCTGGTCCTGTGGGTAATCCCCTGCTGGAAGAAACCCCCGGAGCTTGGCTGGACCAGCCAGAGGAGCTCCCTTGGTGACAGTCCTTTATCCTGGTCTGGGCTCCTTGTGTTGAATATAAGAGCCCTGGGAGACACCAGGCTGCCTCTGGCTTTCGGGCTTGTCTCTAAGTCCAGCCACAAAGACCTTCCTGCCGCCTCCTTTTGCCTACATTCAGCTGTATCCAGGCAGGGGACTGGCAGCCTGGATTAAAGAAGCCATTTAAAGGAAAGCCATGTCCTTATTTGTGAGCTGGGTCTGAGCCAGGAGTTCTGCGGAGTCGAGGTCTTTGGGCATATAGTAAGTAAAGAATTTTTTAATCAAGGCACCCATTGCTAAAGTGATTGAACGGACTCCAAAACAATTTGTTCTTTTACGTAGAGTAACGTTAACCATAAATTGGTGAAATAATGAGGTGGGTACAGAGGGTGAGGACCTAGAAAGAAATCCTGTTCTAAGTCACACAGCTTATGGATGCCAAGGGTGAGCCCTGACATGGAGTTAGTTCATCACCTGCATCTTCATCCTTCCCACGCATCCCTCTCACTGCATCCAGGGCCATTTCCTCAACCTCACCGAATAACTTACTGCCGGTGGTGGACACAGCAACAATGGTAGCGAAAGGCTGGAGACCTCACACCTTCGATTTCAGAGTTTCTGGCCCCTCTGCAGGGTCTCCCGGTAACACACTCATTTCCCACCTCAACCACCAGTAATTCAGGAAGGGGAATGTAAATAAATGAATAACAGGGAGGAGACTATAAGGCCAGATCCTGAGCTAATGGCCACCAACGCCAAATCAGGGAGGCCCAAACGAGACAGGATTTACTGCACCGGTTTGCTACCTTGGCTGTCCAGGCTGAGCAATCCAAGGATAAGGAATGGTGTCATCACTAAGAGCTCCAAAAGCCCTCTTGGTAGGGTCCTGGACCCTCAACCTGGTGTCCTGGAAACACTCCTGGCCCGGCCTATGAGGACAGAGTTGGGTCTTTCTTTGTCTGAGTTGGTCCAGTGGGCAGGGGCCACTTTGGAGGGGCTGAGCAGCCAGCCCTGTGGGGTGAATCACTGACCGGGGATGAGCATATCCAGACTGCCTGTCTCACGGTGTAAAGGGCCCCGCTGCCCACGACTCTGTTAGTTCCTCCTCTGACTCTCCATTCAAACAACCATGGCATGTCAGCCCCGCTGGCCTCCTTGATTGTGCAGAAATAAATAAATGAATTATGTTGTTAGGGTTTGGGCTTCGGCACAAACACATGGTCTGCATTTCTCTGCACAGTGAGAGGTCCACCAGCCACTTGATGTAAAAGAGCAAAAGGATAATTCTTTTCTTTAGGCGCTCTGGTGCCATATGGAATGTATATAAATCATAGTTTTGTTTTAACAGTGGAGACTTTGTTGATAGATAAACATGTGGTTTATCTAAAAAAAAGAGAGGATTGTGCTTTGAACAATCATTTAATGGCCGTGGATGTGCTAAATAAAAATAAAAACATAATTTTCAAAGAAGCTGGCCTCGCGCCCAAATCTGTAACAAGGAACTTCTCCTTAACCAAAGTGGTTAAAGCCCGCCGATCTGTTTTGAGTTTAAGCTGTGCTCTCTACTCAACCCCACGACAAATTGAATCCGGGGCTAATGTGCTCTAATAGGACGAGACGTTACCTTTATGAATGACCTCATGGAGAAGAGGTTGGCAAGCATGGTGGAGAGGCCTTGAGCCAGGCAGCTCTGGGCGATGAACCCCAGCTTCAGCTCTGCGAGGCAGATTGCATCATCCCCCTCTTTCCAATTCCAGCTTGGGATGTTTAGCAGATGGGCCTGCGGAAACAAAAACAGGTACGAGACCTTTCTTCGTTAAATGTTCAATTGGTTAAAATCTCCTCTGGGAAATGCAGCATTGCCCAACAGCTCAGGGTCACCCAGACTCAGCCTTCCTTTCCCTTGCCTGGGTCTGGTGTTTGATGCTTTATTCACCTCTTCTGTTCATCAGACTTCAGTCTCTCTGGAACATTGCTTCTGTACCTACCAAGCCCAAGTCCTCCCCTTGGGTTTGTCATTGAGCCAAATAGAGTCCAGAGGGAATTTCCTCCTGTGACAGACACGTCAGCCCGTGCTACTAGGATGTCTGGCTAGGTTGCTCTAAACTGGCTCCTCAAAAAACCTTAAGACTGCCAGACGCCTGGGCATTTTAGATGTCGTTTTTTTGTCTGCCTTCCCAGAACGCCTGCTCCATGGCTCCCAAGCTTGAGTGGGCACCAGAATCACCTGAAGGGTTTACACTAACGCCAATTGTCGGGCCTCCCCCACAGGTTCTGATTCTTTGGGGGGAGGGTAAGGCTGGGGAATTTGCATTTCTCACAAGTTCCGAGGTGACGCTGAGCTAGCAACCACATTTCAAGAAGCACTGCCCTAAATCATCCGGCACATCACAGTGGAGATGTGTTACAATCTCTTGCAGATGGACTGCTCCTATTCAACAGTGAAGTCAGACCCTGCGATGAGGACCCAGAGGCAGGTTCATCCAATTATTTTTAAGTGGCAGGAAGCAGAGAGTCAGAGATGATACAGTGGATGAAAGAATCAAGGGTTGAAAGTTCTCCAGAGTTGGAAAAATGGGCAAACATCTACAAGATTTAAAAGAACTTAGTATCAAATACAGCATTTAGGTTAAAAGAAAAACTCAATTGTTTAAATCCAAAATGTGAAGCCCTGACTTGGCAGACATGAGGGGACAGGAGAAAGAACAAAACAAAACAAAACAAAAAATCTTGTGTGTGAGTAACTAAAACTCCCCAAAAGAAGTCAATCTCGTGACAGATTACAGAAAAAGCCAGCGCTAGCTTGTTAGAAGTGGTCTTCAGATCATGGGAAATACAAAGGTTTCCTTCTGTTGTGAACTGGTCAGGCTAGTTCCCTGGCGCTTGATCTAGTTGTGACAGTCAGATTTTGAAAGGGAAATTGATAACTGAATAACTCCCAGAGAAAAATGACAAGCATAAGACGAGACGTGGGTTCTAGAAAACATCTTCGGAGGAACAGTTAAGAGAGCGAGCAGCCTTTGGTCTGAAGCAGGGCCACTCCTCCAGGGAGACAGGATAGTTATCTGTGAACACCTCGGGTGCTGCTATGAGGAGGAGAGATTAGACTTGTCTTGCTTTGTTCCAAGTGCCAGAATTAGGAATGACTGGTGTATATTACAAGAAAGCACTTTTTAAGCTTGTTTTATAAAGGAAATCTCTAAGGATGTAATTTGTCTAAAAAATGGAGAAAGCTGCATCCAGAAATGCAAGGTCTTTTTCCCTAAAACTCAGTGCGTGTTTCTCCAAGTCTCAGTAGATAGACTGTTGCTTTGCACAGGAGGCTGAGTCAGAGCTCTTCGAGGCTCCTGCTAATGTCAAGACTCTATGACCCTGAAATTACTGTTTCTCTCCACATATCAGCAAACGCAAGGAGCATGAAGGAGGTATATATGCAGGACAATATACGACACGTGTGCTGCCAGGAGGAGATGGAAGGGTCCACTGTGGAGCCAAGACCAAGTGCACTGGCTCTGTGCTTGGCTTTCAGAAATACCACTCTCATGAAACTGCCCCTTGCAAAATCCTGTTCTGTTAACAATCTTGTGGATCCTAACCCGGCAGTGTTTACTCCTGGAAGATTCTCCCTGATGAGAGCTGTTAAAATAGTCCCATGTGTGGGCAGGAGCAGATGGGAATTTCTGTCAAGCTGAGTATCAGAGACCTTCCCACATCATAGACTCCATTCCAGCAATTAGCCCTGCCCTGTACCCCATTTCTCTCCCTACCCCTCACTGGCTTAAGAAGGCCACTTTTCCCCTTTACTTCCCTGGCATCGTAGGGAATACATCAGGCTAAGTGGAGAAATACTCATTTGCATGAACGTCATCTGAGAAGAATGAGGAGAAATTAAATCTAAGTCATGAACAAGTAAATCATCAAGTGTGAAAGGAGATTTGGGTGGTCCAAGCCCCGGACAGACACCGTGTAACCTTCATGGCAACTCCAAATAAACAAACAAATCTTTTTAAGATGGTTTCTCACATCCCCATATGCCATCCAGGGTATGAAGTCTAGGATTTTATGTCTTGGGTCCCTCATGTACCCATCTGGTATTGAGTTCCTTAGACATATTTTGCATGTTATTACACAGAAAAGTCAAGTTCGTTTCATTTCTCAGCTTCCTCTTTTGGCCACCGTATCTTTCCCAGTCGTGGGGCAGGGAGCCACAAGGGACATGCCAAAGGCTGGAAGGTCTGTGTGCACCAGACAAAGAAGGGTGACTGACCCAGGAACTCAACTTGTTTGTTTCTGGCAACTCTGTCCTTTTTCATTTGAGGGAGCTTTCGGTCCAGTGTCCAGTGGAAGACGCCAGTTTTACTACACAGGAGTCTAGAGGCAAATCCTCTCTCATCTGGAGAACCAGCCCTGCTAAGGCAGGATGAACAGGACTGGGGCTTCCCTCTGTTTGAGGTGAAAGGAACGTGAAAACAGGCTGTCCTGGAAACCAGGAGAGATGAATTCCAGCCCCAGTGCCATCTCTCGCTACACACGCTACGTTAGGGAAGCTGCCATGAGGAAGAAAGAAGGTCGTCTCCGAGAAAACACTTCTGCTCAAGTGTAAGGGTTTACAGTGAGAAAGCTCAAAGAACTTGCATCTCCATTCGGCCACTGGGACTTGGCTTCAGGTCAGAGACAAAGACCTCTTTCTGTAGAGTCTGCTGGGAACATTTTAAAAGTCCACTAACAGCTAAGTCATCAGGAGGGAACCTTTCCAAGACGTCCCAAAGCATTCTTTCCTTTGAGAGTTTTAAGCCATCTGCACTCAAATCAGACAATGCCCCTGTGCCGTCTCCTTTCCATGCTGGGAGATGGTGAGGCTGAGTGTTTCTCTCCCTGAATTCTGCTGGGGGTAAACAGATCCACTTTGGAGAACCTCCATCCTTCTATAAGTCCTACTCAGAGGAAATGCAGTTTGGCTCAACAGCCTGTGGCTCTACTGAATGAGAAGGTGGCAGTTTTGGCAGTTCTGTCTCTTAGCTCACTGGCTGCCAAGTGACCATGAGTTGTACCCACCAGAGACGCTCTGAGACAGAGCTCAGACCCACGGTCTGCAGTCACACTGGGATACTAAAATGCACAGATGGTCAAATGAGGACTAAATGGGATAATGGATGTCAAAGCTCTTTTAAAACCATAAAATATGACACAAATGTCTGAGATTACTATGATGACAAACTCAGAACGAGTTTTATATGGAGAGAAAGAAGACAGCTTCCCTACATCCCTCCAGGTCCTAGAATAGCACCATCATTAGATCACGGGGGATTGAAATTCTTTATCTTTTAAATCTGATATCCAATTATGGAATTAACTATCCTTTGGAATATGCTGACAATGATATAAGTGTACATGTATGTACCAGGTTCTTTCCAGAAAACAAGTTTTAATGGATGGAGATCTCTGGGCATCTAGTCATGGGTACAGAGAAAGTACCAAGAGAGGAAGAAAAATAATATTGTAACGGTAGATAGGAGGATCTTAAAAAACAGCAAAATTAAGTCAAAACTACAATGCGATATCATCTCACACAGGTCAGAATGGCCATCATCAAAAAATCTACAAACAGTAAATGCTGGAGGGGGTGTGGAGAAAAGGGAACCCTCTTGCACTGTTGGTGGGAATGTAAACTGATACAGCCACTATGGAGAACAGTATGGAGGTTCCTTAAAAAACTAAAAATAGAACTACCATATGACCCAGCAATCCCACTACTGGGCATATACCCTGAGAAAACCATAATTCAAAAAGAGTCATGTACCAAAATGTTCACTGCAGCTGTATTTACAATAGCCAGGACATGGAAGCAACCTAAGTGTCCATCGACAGATGAACGGATAAAGAAGATGCGGCACGTATATACAATGGAGTATTACTCCGCCATAAAAGGAAACGAAATTGAGTTACTGGTAGTGAGGTGGATGGACCTAGAGTCTGTCATACAGAGAGAAGTAAGTCAGAATGAGAAAAACAAATACAGTATGCTATATGGATATAGAACAACAACAACAACAAAAACTGGTTCTGAGGAACCCAGGGGCAGCACAGGAATAAAGACGCAGATGTAGAGAAGGGACTTGAGGACACGGGGAGGGGGAAGGGTAAGCTGGGACGAAGTGAGAGAGTGGCATGGACATATATACACTACCAAACATAAAATAGACAGCTAGTGGGAAGCAGTCGCATAGCACAGGGAGATCAGCTCGGTGCTTTGTGACCACCTAGAGGGGTGGGATAGGGAGGGTGGGAGGGAGGGAGACGCAAGAGGGAAGAGATATGGGGACATATGTATATGTATAACTGATTCACTTTGTTATAAAGCACCATTGTAAAGCAATTATACTCCAATAAAAATGGTTAAAAAAAAAAAAAAAAAAAACCCCAGCAAAATTGTAAAGCAAGGTGAAGAATGTCTATTTGCAGTTCTCAAGGAATGAGATGACAAATAATGACCAGTAGACTTCCTGTTCTTTCTCTGCAGGAGAAAAATGAAATGATAAAGAGCCCTGTAACAAAGTCACTATGACCCTTTCACTCTCACACATCTTATAAGGACAAAGTCTCATAAGTGACTTTTCCTAACTCTGAAACCCAAATAGATTGGGGTGGTTCTAAACAAAATGCGTTTTAAGCAAATAATCATGGGTCGGTTGATGTCTTCATCACCGTTTTTGAATAATGATAAGGCAGAGGTTTGTGACAGATGTTCAGCTTGCTATGATAAGCTTGCTATGATCGTGTGGATACTGACCAGTGCCATCTGGATCCTAGGTCCATGGAACTATTTCTGAGTTTGACAAGAATCACAGAGCTGAAATCCTCCTTAATTCCTTGAAGATGCTGCATTAGCACTCATTGGAAGGAGAAAAAAAGCAACTGACATCCCTTTCTAAACATACAACATTAGTTTTCCTATTCAATCTAAATTCAGCCCCAAATCTAAACAACAGCTTAAAGCACTCCCACACTAAATGAAATTTCAAATCACAAAGGAAAGAGGGAGAGTTCCTTGCCTCGGGAGCTGTCACCGGCCACAGCCCTGCTGATAAAATTCACCTCCACCTACCAGGGCTGCTGTCAAAGAACTTCTCCAGTTTGATGCCGGTGAGTTACCAATACCCTCACTTTCTCTCTTCAGTGTCCTGGGTTTTCCAGAGACAAACAGGACACTGTGACCAACCCACTGGCTGGAGCACGGCACAGCCGGCAGTGGAGCCACCTGGGAGGGCTGGGCAGCAGTGGGCGGTGGGCAGCAGCCCGAGCGGCAGCCCAGTCACCGACAGCAGGCTCCACAGTCAAGAACGCCTCCGATGGGCTTTCACACAGCGAAATGGGGCAGCGCTTGCCAGCAATTAAGAAGTAATGGCATGGCACTGGCGCATCTGGCAGAAGGGAGTCCTCTCTGGGTCACCGGCCTGCTATTTCGTAGGGAATATGGCCCATAAGATGGGACACACGCTCACTCACAACCCAGCAGGGAGTGATTCTGTCCAGACAGGACACCTGGTGGCAGGTACTGAGCAGCCTCCGGTCTCTCATAACTGGTTCCATGTCAAACACAGAAAGGTGCCACCTTCCCTCCCCCAAAGCTGTTTTCCTGGGAGTCTACTGATGGCCGAGCAAAGGAGCATTGCCTTTGAATGAGAGACAGGACTCTGGTTTACGGAGAAATAATCACAAGGGAAACAGCACAGACTCCAACATTTGTTTTCTTCCTGATCGCTCTGTAAACTGTAACACTAGGAAAATTCCTTTATGTTTAATCTCTGGATAGCCAACTATTTTCCTAAATTCAACGGTGCAAATTCTCATCTTGAATTTCAGGATGCGGTTTTCCATATTCTCCACCCAGCACGTGGTCTGTCCCGCCAAGTTCACCTGGTCTCAGATAGAAAAGTGCTCACTTGCCTGGGACACTCTACACCTTGACTGCAAAATCCCTGAGGGCACAGAACAGGGCTTCACTATTTCCACCGGGACTGGGGGGGCGGTGTGGGTGAGGCCTCCTGTTGACCACACAGTAGTACTCAATAAATACCCATGGAAGAAATGAGTGCGGCACATAAGAATTCGAAGTTGTTGGAATGAGATCTAAAGACACATCAATAATTCTGAACCTAGGGAACCAACAGATGCTTCCTGAACGAATGAGTCAATACGTGAAGGTGTTTCCCTCCAGTGCCCAACTGCAAACGAGGTGTTTGGACTGAAGAAACGTCCCAGGGAGGTTTTTACCCACCACTCCTCTTTACCCAGGCCTTTGGATTGCATTGGTGTGTGTGCTCGTGCATGTATGCACATGCGTGTGTGGCTGTCTGGGAAGGGGGAAGAGCCGGGACCCCCGTGTGCATCACTGAGCCTGCGACAGGCTCTCACAGCCCTACCTTGTTATGATACTGCAGCATCTGAGTGATTATTCTTATCTTCGGGTGGTAGTTCTTTATGGAGATGACTCTGAAAAAGAAAAGAACAAAAGCTGAGCCAGGGTGTGCCTCACCCTTGGAGTCTGATGGGAAGATTAATTTGATTACAACCAAATGGAGTGAATGTAGGGCCAGCAGCCTGGACCTTCAGAGAGGGTGCAGCCACTGGGCCAAGTTACACTGTGTTTCCACTGCCATACCCCGTGGTCGTGTGAAAAGGAAATCACAGAAAGGCCACAGACCATGTCCTAGGCATAAAAGAAGAGAGAGGTCCCGTGGTGTCTCGGTGATGGCATGTGTGTACCGGGCATGGGGGTTCTGGAGCAGCGGTCACGGGCTTATTGCCCACATGGGCCTGTAAATAAAACAAGCTCAACTCATGGGGCCAACAGAGGTTTGCCATCTCACATACCCTAGGGAGGAGCCCGGAAACGATTTGCTCTGAGTCCAATTCTCCAAGTTAACAACATGAGACAACGTGACAAATCATACAAGCAGCCTGACAAATGATTCTAATTGTCACGCACACATGGCCACTGTCACAAAAATGATTTCTGAGCAGGGCTCTTAGGATGGGCCTATCGAATCACACGACTCAGCCTGTGATAGCTAACAGCATCTAAACAATGACTTTGATGCCGGTTACAGTTAAGTGTCAAGGCCTCGGGGAGGTCATGGGCTGGTGGAAAATTCCCCCCAACTGCTCTCAGTCCCTACTTAGTATTAACTACCGCCAGCCCCTACTACTCTAACCCTCCCTCCTGTTCCCCACAACAATCACTGTGCTGCAAGGGGAGGGGCCGGGAGCAGAGGAACAGAAACACCTGCATTCCAGTCCCAGCTGCTACACTAACAAACTGAGTGACCTTCAGGAAATCCCTGGACTCTCCGTGACTGTTTCCTCATCTGGACATTGGGGGCAACGGTACCTGCTTTATGTATTTCACAGGCTTGGTATGAGCAGCACATGAAAAACCAGATGTGGAAATGCTTTGAAATCATTAAAAGCTCTCTCCACATGCAAGTTATGGTTTTTGTCATTACCCACTCTGTCAGAGATGACACTGTACATTTCCTCCTGTGACATGGAAGGCTACAGACTGGGATTCCACAGAAAGGCCCACCTCCTAAGCCTCATCGGAAATGCGAGTGCACTGGTCATGACCACCCCACAACTTCCCACCAGGAAATGCCCTATGCTTCATCCCTTTTCGTGCAAAGATGGAGAGGAGGCAGCCGGGGAGCAGTTTTGTCTGAAAAGCTGCCACTTGGGAGTTTAGGAAATGGATCACGCGGAAGCCTCTCCCTGCACAAATTCACCCTTTTGGGCTTTTGCACTTGAAGGATTTCATTTTATTTTTGAAAAAGTGTTGTGTTGGCCCATGCTTATAATTCAAGGACTTTGAGCCTCTGTCAGCCCTCGGAATTCAGTTCACAATATCAGCCAGTTTTCTGCATTAGCTCATTTCAAATGGATCTTTGACATTTTAATTTCAAAACAGGCAGATTGGTCTCATTAAACTAAGGGGAAAGGAGGATTATACAAATAAGGGAAAGACAGATCCCTTCTTTTAACCCTGAGCTTCCCATTTCCTTTTGCTCCCTGGGCCTTAGTTCTGATTCCGTTAATGAATGGCTGAATCACATTTCTGCTACTACCTTTTTCAGTCATTTTCACGCCTTGGCATCACGCCAATCACCCAGGTACCCTGTATGTCTTCATATTAACCCTACTGTAGTCAGGGCTTAAGTAAAATATTGTGACTAAGAGAAATGCCCACCTCAAAGCTATTATCATTTCAATTATTCACTTAAAAAAAAAAAGGCAGTGCCAGCCCTAAATTTCTCTGTGGGGTAAAACATTAAGCTTCCTCTTCTTTTGGCTTTCCATTTGAAATTTTGAAAATAATGTTCCCGAAAACCTACATTTTTGCCACTTCAACTGACACAAAAAAACGTGAAGGACACAAATCCTAGTTCAAGGAAAGGGCCAACTGATGCACCCTAAGCTGGGGCTGTGACTAGTTAGGGGACAGGCTCAGGTGTGGAAGCAGGTCCCCATTCCACCATCTCCCTGCAGCCTGGCTAGGCCAGTGCTTTCAGGAGTCCATGCATCAACTCTCTTAAGATGACTGCACTACGCATACTCCTGAAGAAAAGTGAGTAGAAAGAGAATATTGTGCCAGATGTTGCTTGCCAGACGCAAGGACCGATGCTGAGTGGAGGATGTGCTTCAGAGGAATTCTGCCCCCTCACTGACGGGAAAGCTCATGTCACCTGGGGCCACTGAGTGAAAGCAAAGCGAAGGAGATGCGAGCATTGTAATGGTGCAAAGGCAACTTCCCTACCCTCTGTCTCAGGTAAATTCGCAGGACACAGTAAACCAAGCTGTAGGGAGAGGGGAATCTTGGTCTAGACCCAAAGGATGGCTGTTTGCAATTAGGCAAGAGTTCCTGGGAATCTAGTGGGAGTGAAATGTTTCCTCTTGGTTCATCTCTTCTCCAGAAGGTTCTCTTTATTACCTCCTCCTCCTGAAATTTATGCTGCAGGAGAGAAGAATCCAAAAGGGTTTTCACTAAGTGGAGCAAAATATCTTAACTTTGTAGTCATTTCATAGTCCCAAGATGTCTGGAATATGGGTCTATACAAAGAACAAAAATGGAACAGTTTTCTCCTGAAATAAGAACAGAATAAGGAGCAGGAGTTGGCCAGAGAACGGCCTCAGGTGGGCCCTGCGCGTTTACGAGAAAGGCACTGGGCAGTGTTTTCCAAAGAGTGACCCCCCACCTCCCCTAGCCCTGCCAGGAGATGTTTTTTTAAAAAAAAAAAAAAAAAAAAAAAAAAAAAAAAAAAAAAGGAGGGGGAGGGGCCTGTAGTCAAATAGGTTTGAGAAAGTCTCTCTAGAACATTATCTTAGAAATTCATATTAGTATTCAAAGCACTGAGGAGGCATTCAGGGGGAAGAAAACTATTTCAGGGGACTTCCCTGGTGGTACAGTGGGTGGGAATCCGCCTGCCAAGGCAGGGGACACGGGTTCAAACCCTGGTCCGGGAAGATCCCACATGCCACGGAGCAACTGAGCCCGCGTGCCACAACTACTGAGCCCACACGCCACAACTACTGAAGCCCACGCACCTAGAGCCTGTGCTCCGCGACAAGAGAAACCCCCGCAATGAGAAGCCCGCGCGCAGCAACGAAGACCCAACGCAGCCAAAAATAAATAAATAAAGTAATTAAAACAAAAACAAACTATTTCATTTGGGGAAACTGGTTGAAACAAGCTGATTGGTTAACAAACCCCTCTTTGTGGGAAATATTCATCTATGTGTGCTTTAGACACACTCGGAAAGCTCTAACCTGGGGCTCCCCAACCTTGGCACTATTGACATTTGGGGCGGGCTAATTCTCTGCTGTGGGGGGCAGTCCTGTGTACTGTAGGATGTTGAGCAGTAACTCCGGCCTCTACCCAGCAGACATGAGCAGCACCGTCCCCTAACTATGAGAACCAAGAACATCTCCAGCTATTCCAAACTGTCTCCCGGGAGCGAAATCGTTTACAGTTCAGATTTCTCAGGCCCACTCCCCCTCAGGGAACATGGTACCTTAGTTCAGGCCTGCTCCCAATGAAATCTACCTTTCCTTCGCTAGTCCTCCACCCCAAGACTGGTTGTGAGCCCCAGAGCTCCTAGAGTGTGTGTGTGTGTGTGTGTGTGTGTGTGTGTGTGTGTGTGTGTGTGTGTGTGTGTGTGTGTGTGTGTG